ATACAAACAAACATACATACATACGTACTTATAGACAAAAAGTGATAAATTATTAATATGAGCGTGTTCAATTGAGACATGTTCAATGATAATAAAGTTATTGCATTGTATGTATATTTTTGTATTGTATTTTTGTATCTTTTGTATTTTTTGTATCTTTTTGTATAATTTTGTATAAATTTGTATTATACAGTTGATTCTTCAACAATCGTTATAAAATGGTACCAGCCAACAATATAGATTATTTTTATACATTTATAAATAGATTCACAAGCAGGCAGGCATACATACATTCATACATTCAAACAAACATACAAACATACATACATACATACATACAAACAAACATACATACATACATACAAACAAACATACATACATACAAATATGCAAACAAACAAATAGTTACTCAATAAAGAACGTTGGTGAACCAGAAAAAACACAATGGGTTATAAATTTTAATACAAAGATCCATACAAAAGAACAATGTTTGTGTACTGAAATGGATTTTACACTTTTTTTCGAAAATACTAAAGTACATACAATACAACAAATACAAAACAAGGTGTTTGTATATATTCAAGATGTTTGTGTATCTGTTTGTATTTTATCATACAATTGACATATATGAAATATAAAAACACATACAAACACATGCAAACACATACAAACACATACAAACACATACAAACACATACAAACACATACAAACACATACAAACACATACAAACACATACAAACACATACAAACACATACAAACACATACAAACACATACAAACACATACAAACACATACAAACACATACAAACACATACAAACACATACAAACACATACAAACAACGAATGCCAATGTATACACATACTAATGTTCCACCACCCTTTTCGATATTGAAGCACGTTTTGATTAGAAAAATAATAAAAAAATTATTTTATATGCATGCAATGAGTGAATAATGAATGAATGAGTGAGAGAGTGAGTGAGTGAGTGAGTGAGTGAGTGAGTGAGTGAGTGAGTGAGTGAGTGAGTGAGTGAGTGAGTGAGTGAGTGAGTGAGTGAGTGAGTGAGTGAGTGAATAAACGAATGAACGAACGAACAAAAGAACAAACGAACGAATGAATTAATGAATTAATTAATGATTCAATAAATGAATGAAGACAGCTAGAAACAAGTGAATGAATTTATGAATGAATGAATCAATAGATTGATAGGTGAATGAACTGACGGAGAACTTAATGAATAAAAAATGGATGCATGAGTGAACGAACCAATGAATGAATTAATGAATGATTGCATGGATGAATAAGAAATGTTGGATAAACTCTTGGAAAAAGAAATTGCTGAAATAGTTTGATGGATGAATTTTACAAATGTTTGAATGAATAGATAATAAGATTAATGATAAATTTAAAAAAAACCATTTGTTACACATACACGCACGCACGCACACGCACATGCAAACACACCAATACGTACATACACATGCACACATGCATTCGTGAGCGCATGCAGGAATGAATTGTTGAAAAACACATTGTTGATCTGATGCCTGGTGAGTCCAATAAATTTTAAAAAATAAAATAATGGATTTGATGGATGGATGGATAATAAAATGAATAAACGAATGGATAGATAGATAGACAGATAGTAAATGGGTGGATAAACAAATGGATGAATGAACAAATGTTTGAGTAGATTGAACGAACGATCGAACGTTTGAAATGAATGAATAAAAGAATGAATGAGTGGATGAATGAATGAGAAAAAGATGGACCGATGGAATGATTGATAGGAGGATGAATAAATGATTGGCAGTTGGCCCCAGCTACATTGAAAAACATTTTTCGGAATATTATGAAACAAGGTTTGCACGCATCATTAATTTAACACATGAACACGTTTGTCCATAAATAAACAAACACACGCATATACACACACACACATAAACACACACACACAAACACACACACACATACATATGTATATACATACTCACACACACACATACATTTAAATAGACAACATAATAACTTTTTAAATACATTCACACATTCTTTTATACATTTACACTACTACTACTACTACTAATACTACTACTACTACTACTACTACTACTATTACTAATACTACAACTACTACTGCTACTACTACTACTACTACTGCTACTACTGCTACTACTACTACTGCTACTACTGCTATTACTGCTACTACTACTATTACTGCTACTACTACTACTACTACTACTACTACTACTACTACTACTACTACTACTACTACTACTACTACTACTACTATACAACAAGTACAAACGTAGTACTAACTTACCCCACATCCATACAAATATTAGTTTGGTTTGGCTAAAAAATTTGTTGGTTCACATCGCTCAATCAACCAGTATTTAAACGTATTTACAACATCATCGTCATCATCGTCATCATCATCACCATCATCATCATCATCGTCATCATCATCATCATCATGGACAATGACATAATCATCATCATCATCGTCGCCGTCATTGTTGTAATGGCGAATTTGCATAAGCAAATAATCAGACAACATGTTATGGCTCATCTCATCTTATTGTTGCTTGAATGATGATGATGGTGATGATGACGATGATGATGGTGGTGATGAAGATGAAGATGGTGGTGATGATGATGAAGATGGTGATCGTGATATATACGACAACGAAGCTAGTTATGCAAAACATCATCACCATCATCATCACCATCATCCAAATTATTGCAAAATTCGCATAGTAAAGATACAAAGAGTTATAATGATAATGATGGTAATGAAGATGATTGTAACAATAGTAATAATAATCACCGACATCATCATCATCATCAGGAGCGACTTATCGGTGACAACGTGGCGTTCGGGTCACCTATCTAGATGCTCTATATAATGTATCCAATTAATTTTTTGTATGTATGTATGTATGTATGTATGTATGTATGTATGTATGTATGTATGTATGTATGTATGTATGTATGTATGTATGTATGTATGTTTATATGTACGTATGTATGTATATGTGTGTGTATGTTTGTATGTATGTGTGTGTAGGTGTGTATGTGTTTGTATGTATGTATGTATGCATACATACAAACACATATGCATACATATATTAGTTAAAAAATGGGCTCACTTTTCAATGGCTTCTTCCAATGACTAAGATTGTGATGATGACGACGACGATAATTATGATGATGATGAAGAAGAAGAAGAAGATGATGATGATGAAGAGAATGATGATGATAACGATGTCATTTACAATAAGATAATGATGATGAAAGTGATGATGATGATGATGAAAGTGATGATGATGATGATGAAAGTGATGATGATGATGATGAAAGTGATGATGATGATGATGATGGTGGTGATGATGGTATTCTGTGGCGGTTAAGACCAACACGTTACATGCAGAAAATTAGGGAAATATTTTTATTCCTCTTCCACAATATTCATCGCTATTATTATCATCCTATTATTATTATTATTAATAATAATATTATTATAATTAATCTATCATTATTATTCTATTATTATTATTCCATTATTATTATTATTATTATTCTTGTTATTACTATTATTATTATTATTATTATTAATCCATTTTACTCAATTAATCCAACAAATAATCAAGCCATAAATGTTATAACCATCATTACAAGTTTATAACCATCATTATAAGTATATATAAAAATTTATTTCTAGATTACGTTCAATAGTTATTATTATTACTTATATAGTTATTATTATTACTTATATAGTTATTATTATTACTTATATACTTTAATCAAAAAAGTACTGGGATTAATTGCTATAAATTAATCAATTGTTCCAATTGATTAACTTTAAACGCTCATTTCTGATGGAATTGGCCACTGTTGTTTTATTGAAGAGCTAAGACGCCTACATACATACATAAATACATACATACGTGCATACATGCATACATGCATACATACATACATACATGCATACATACATGCATACATACATACATACATGCATACATACATACATACATACATACATACATACATACATACATACATACATACATACATACATACATACATACATACATACATATATATATTGAACAACCATGCAAGCACATGCTAATATAGACATTAATGAGGTAGTAATAGTAGTAGTAATAGATTTGATTTTTGTGTGTAGGTATATAAATGTGTGTTTATGTGTGTGTGTGTATGTGTGTCTGTGTAGATATGTGAGCGTGTTTGTGTGTGTATGCGTGTGTGTGTGCGTATGCGTGTGTGTGTGTGTTTTATCAGTATGAACAACAAACATCGTTATCAAAATAACAACAACATTAACTCTAATATCGAGAAGAAAGTCTGTTTAACAGATTGTTCATTAAATAATTACGTGTTTTAATTATGCGTGTGCGTGTATGTGTGCGTGTGTCTGTATGAATGTGTATGTATGTATTATTATTATTACTATTGTATGTTTGTCTTCAGCATACAATTTTAAATGTGGGAATTCGCACACGTTAAATACATCACAAACATGCATACATGCACACATACATACAAACATACAGATACATTTGTACAAACATGCATACATACATACAAACTACAAACATACATTGCATGTTTGCCCAAAGTAAAGACAAACTCCTCATATGAAATCTCTGTAGTAAGAGAAGATTGGAACGTATATCAAAATAAAATTTACATGCATGTTGTATATTTGTATATTATGTATGTATGTATGTATGTATGTATGTTTGTATGTATGTTTATATGTATGTATGTAGGTATGTATGTATGTATGCTTGTTTGTATTTATGTGTGTATGTATGTATGTATGTTTGTTTGTGTGTGTGTGTATGTATGCATGTATGTTTGTTTGTGTGCGTGTGTGTGTGTACGTGTGTATGTGAACATTTCCAATACCACACAATACAAAATAATTATCGTGTATTTAAAATTATACGGATATAATTTCTCATTAATTAGTTAGGCTGTTGTATTTCTTAACGAAGGCACTTGCCTCTCGTTTAACAACTCTCTTTCTTCTCATGCCTTTAAAATTTCTTCTTGCTATTGTATTTTCTTTATTATCTTTGTAATTATTATTATTGTCATTATTATTATCCTTATTTTTATCATTATTAATGTTATTATTGATATTATTATTATCATTATTGTTGTTGTTGTTGTTGTCGTAGCCCATATTTTTACCCCTAGCGCCATTTTTAATTTGATCGCCAGTCTCATCGTCTCCATCGTCACCACCATCAGCCCCCTCATAAATGTTATCAACACCAACATCTTCGTCGCCACCGGTTCGCCATTTAAAACCCCAAATGCCTTCTTTTGAAGGGGTAAGCATGTTGTCGGTGATAAATTTTTCCAAGTCATTTCCGCCATTTTGTTCTTTCATACTCGCTAGTACCGTTAAAAATTCGTCATAGTCTTTGTCAAATTCTTTCCTCAAGTTATCGCAGTTTAGGTAGAGGGCTTGCATGCCCTTGAACAGCCAATCAGTTTGAAGGTCGAGGTCGTAATTGCTGAAATCTGACCAATCATGGACGAGCCAGTATTTGTAGTTTTCAGTTGATTGGCCGATGTTTTTGGAGGTGGCTTCTGATTGGTCGTTTTTATTTGAAGCTGTTGTCGATTGGATATTTTTTCTTGATTTCGATTGGTTGTTCTTTTTCTTTGATGTTGCCGGGGCAAGTTTCTTGAAGGGGTAACCCGAGACGGTTGAACACCAACACCTGTGATGTGGATGGTCAGTTTAGTGGTTCATCTGTTGAATGTTTGGCTAGTTGTGGGCTTGATTCATTTTCAAATTTTTTAATTGACAAAATCATTAACTTCTCAAATCTATGCCTCATTCTCAAATTAAAATATTTACGAAAAAATCCTAAAACAAATTTCTATTCAACATGCCTCTATAATAAATTAGAATTCTACCAATAATTAGAACGGCCACAGAAAAATAACAAAAAAACACCAAAAATTAAAAAAAACCCGCACACACCTACGTAGAAAACACTGCTTGGGGGTATAATCCCCATCCTGGGTGCAGGAGGGCTGGTAGTTGAAGGCTGACCCCGACGAAAGGGCCGCCGTCAAGCAGGACTGCTTCCGGGATATCATGGGCCCCTCCCAAGGAAACCTAACTGAAAATGGCGAGATAAGAAAAAATGGCGGGAAACTTACCAAAAAAGGCGCGAAAGAAGTAATAGGAGAAATAAAATGGCGAAGAACAAAGCTAAATGAGACAAAATCGTATTAAAAATAATGATGGAATGATACTCATAGATGCATACATGGAAAAAGACTAAATGGACAACCCACCGGTAACATCAACGTCCAGATCATTCAACTCCTCAACCAAATCATCAAAATTCATGGTGAATTTTGTAATGGTGAAGAGGATGAATGGAGGAATGGGGAGAAAAAAGATTGGGGCAGAATCATTGTGGCTATGCGTTAGATACCTTGGGGTAACTTTTGGCGAAAATGTGTATTTAAATGATGAAGTTATTTGTCTAGAGGCGTCATTGTAGAAATGTACATTGTATAAATATATTTTGATTGATTGATTAGTTGATCGATTGATTGATCACTCGATTGATTGTTTGTTTGAATGATTGAAGTATACGAAATGATGATATGATATAATTAATTTTTAATATAATAATTATTAGTATTTATTTAATATTATGAAACTTTACACCACCTTGCGACCAGCTATGGTGCATGGAGTAGTTGGGCTCTCCGTTGAACGCTAACATGATTAGCGAATGGATCAACGCCTTCATGCTTTTTATTTCAATTTAATTTAAATTCAACTGCTAAATTTGTTAATAATTAATAATAATTTCGATAATTTCGCTCGTCTTTAAATTAATTTAATGTATTTTATATTTTAAAAATATTCCCCAAACTAATGCAACGAAAAACAAAGCATGGACTGAAATAAGTTTACACACAATGACGTTAATATCACATTGAAAGAAATTTACTAATAACTAATTAAATTCATTAATGATAACAAAATATTTTTTATCTTTCGAATCCAGAAGTTAATTTAAATATAAAATAAGGATAATAAACGTAATAGAGTTTATATTTTGTTTTAATTTATAATCATAATTTTCGTGATATTGCAGACCAGGGATGGGCAAACTTTTAACAGTGAGGGCCACATTTAGAACTATTTGACCTTCGAAGGGCCGCATATGTACTTTAACAGCAGATTTGTAGCTCTTTTTTTGACCATAATTTCTGGCTGACAACCTTTTCTTTGGCGAAGAAGGCCTGCGGGTCGTAGATTGCCCACCCCTGCTGTGGACGAGTTGACTTTTTATAAATAAGCACACTATAAAAAAACTGTTAATCAATTAAATTAAATTAAATTAGTTGTAAAATTGAATTAAATTAATTTTGAAATTATGTCTGTCATGTTTTTGGACCTTTGTTTAAGCTGTCAAAATTGGTTTTAGATGAAGTTTTCAAAACATTTCCCCTAGTTGCAGTAGTAGTGGAAATTGTAGTAGTTGTAGTACTAGTGGCTGTAGTAGTGGAAGCTGCAGAAGTGGTGGTCGTAGTAACGTCTCCAAACATCTCCGATTCTTTATTAATCTTCGCCAAATACTCTTGCCTGTACTCTTCCAGAATTTCATCGCAGTCTATCTTGACAGCCTTGTATCCGTAGCTAAAGAAGGACTCATCCATGTTATTTTCCGGCCCAGGAGTCCAGTGTAGCATGGCCCAACCAACTTTTTGACCGTTTTTGTAAATCTTTTTGATTGGCTGTCCGAAATGTGTGACGCACCAGCACCTGAGATGAGAAGCGATGAGAGATTTAGTTGAGTTTTGAGTTATATAAATGACAAAATACTTTCTAGAAACAGTATTAAATGCTTTTGTAAATGATGTATTTGGTAGAATGTTGAATAAAAATTACGTTTAATTCTAAAAAATGTGCTAAATTTTTTGCGAAAACGATAAATTTGCGCCAAAATTTGAGCACCAGACTCGATAAATTTTTAGTTTCACTTTAATCACCTCTGCGATATTTATTTTTCAAACTTCTCGTAGCAAAGTTAAATTTCGTTCCGTTACGTTTCGTTTCGTTAATGGAATGCTTACCTCTCCATAAAGCATTGTTTGGATGTATAGAAGCCGCCCTTGGTACAAGAGGGTGAAAAATTTGCAAGGGAGCCACTGAGTAGGGCCGCTAGATAGCAGTTGCCTGTCTTGAAAACTGGTTCCTCCCAAATTACTTCATCTGGTGGTGGCAGAATGACGTAATCAGAGTGTAATTTTTAAAGTATTATTGTTGTATAATCTTTCTTGTCATCATCATCGTCGTCGTCGTCGTTGTCACCATCGTCTTCATCATACTCGTAGCCACCATCGTCGTCATCATCTTCATAATCATCTTTATCATCTCGCAGTGATAATCATCTTCATTATTTACGTCATCATCGCCACCACCATCATCATTTTCATCGTCGTCGTCATCACTTTCACTCACTTCTCGGTTTCCTGGACAATCGACTCAACGGCTCCGACAACCGATCATCGTAGAAAGTATCGTTCAATTCGTAATCGAATATGGCGGGCGGTGTTGAGTACTTGACCAGCTTCCAGATCTGACGTTGGTACCAGGACCGAGTCGTTGGCGGTTCTTCGGCGTAGTGATGGTACGTTACTGAATCGGTCGGTATTCGTTCGGAATGTATGTTATATTTCATCTTTTCGATCTTAACTTATTTGAAACATTGATATTAGAATATAATATTTCAAACAAGAATTATTTTTATACACTGAAACTTAAAAACCGCTTTTTGTCTGTACTTCTTGGCTCGATCCTTCACTTCCTCCAGTCATTTTTTTATCATACGATGCTCCCATACCGACTTTTTTTGCCTGATATTTCGAGATTTTCGTAAATGTAACGAGATTCTGTCTTTGATTCAAGGGTGGTTTTTTAGTCGTCTGGACGATTAAATCTTCCAATTTTTCCATCTGTAAGCGTCTCACATCTGTATTACCCCCACCCCCACCATCTTCGTCATCGTCGCCCTCTTCGTATTCATCATCTTCGAGGTGTTTTGAAATTTTTTCATTGGTCTTTATCCGAGAAATGACTTTATTGTCTATGGACTCTGAGTGATAATTGCATAATAATAACTATTATATATAATTACTGAAATTATACTTAATTATGTCTAGAGGTATCAACAACACACCACACACACACACACACACACCCACACACAATTCATAGGTGTGACGTTTAAAAATTGAACAAAAGCATATTTTAACTAAAGGAAGTTTGTATTCATGTAATGAGTAAACCGGTAAATCTGTAAATTATGTAATTAGGGTAATTGAATAATTTAAACTAATTGAATAGTAACTGGGATAATTAAGTAATTTATACTAATTAGGTAGCAAGTGAGTGTCTCTACTAACTCGAGTTAGACTCGAAAATTAGCCATAAACAGCAAAACACAAAAACCGAAGTGTACATTATTACGAGAATATCCAATCAATTAAATAGATTTAATTAATAAATTAACTAATTAATTAGTTAAATGAGTAATTAAAAGTGTAATTATATATCTAATTAATTTTAAACTTTACGACTCATTAATGAAATCATTAAACTGCCATACACACTGACAATGAGAATTTTAAATTTTTAAACAAACCGATTTGATTTTTTTGTGACGGCAACATTAAAACTAGGGATGGGCTGAGTTTTATTTTGTTAATATTTTTTATTGTTATAAAAACTATCGTATCATTATATTAACATCATCGTTATCATCATCGTCACAAGAAAATTAAATAATGTGTTGTACTAATATTAATAAAAAAATTGAACTATTGATTAATCAATAAACGCTAATTATGTGTGTGTGTGTGTGTGTGTGTGTGTGTGTGCGTGCTAATATATGTGTGTGTGTGTTGATATATGTATATGTATCTACGTACGTTTGTGTGTACGTGTATACAAATAAATAAAAGTTACAAAATCATGATAGTCTCTATAAATAGCTACAAATCTATTTCACATATTCCTTTAATTTGTGGCGCTACATAATCGTTGCTGACGTCATTTTCTTCATCGTCTTCGTCATCATTGCAATCTACGTCATCCCATTTCAGGAACCTTTGAAAGTGAATTTATATGAATAATTTTTTTATAACTTATAATTGTTAATGTTTTTATAGTTTGGGCATATACATTAAAATGTTTAAATATGTATGTACCTGGGTGAGTTATTGCCTGTGTTTGTTTGTGTGGTGTGTGTATATGTGTGTGTGTGTGCGTGTGTGTGTGAGTGTGTGTGTGCGTGTGTGTGTGTCGGCCTCACCTATTCTCATCCATTCCATCTCTCTGACTCATGTAAAGACAGTTTTCCTTTCCATTTTGACTATAATAAAAATAGTAATAACGTGATATATAATAATAATAACCATCAGCGTAATTCTTATTATCATTGTCATCATCATCGTCGTCGTCACCATCATCATCGTCGTCGTCATCGTCCTCATCATCATTACTCACTTATCTGGCTTTCCAGGAACAAACGCTGTCATGCCACTAATTAGCATTGGAACTTTTTGAACATTATCGTCACTACCACTTGTACTACTACTACTACTGCTGCTGCTACTACTACTGCTGCTGCTACTACTACTACCACTGCTACTACTAATTTTGCTACTCTGGCGGCTGTTGAAAGTTGTACTACTAATGTTTTTGTCAATACTACTACTACTACTACTGCTGCTGCTGCTGCTGCTGCTGCCAACCCATATCCAATGACCGCCCACGCAGTCACTGAACTCGCTAGCGTCCTTGACCTTTTGGGCACCTAACCAGAAGCCCCAAGTCCACTGGTTGTTGTGGTTTTCGTAGTTGCCGTTGAAATTGTTGTTGTCGTTGTTGTTGTTTGATGATGACGACGATGACGTCATATCTGTTTTCGGAGAGGTAGAAGTAAAAATGATTGCTAAAAAAATGTAAAAAAAATTGATTTCATAATGATGATGATGATGATGATGATGATGATGATGATGATGATGATGATGAAAGATTGCGTAATCATATTTTAATTAGAAAAATATCATTACAAAAAACATACTCGCCGTCATCATCAAATTCTACCCAATCACCTTCATTCGCCAAATAATCTATAATTAGCTCCTCTAGAAACAGCTGCTCCCTCAGAGAATTCACGTGCACTAAGTGACTGCCAAGGTCAAGGCAGCTCTTCTGTGATTGGCTGAAAGAACTAGGATGACGTAGGATACTATATTTAGACGTGGTATTTGTGTTTGCTTGGTGGTAGATCGCCCAAGGACCTAATTATTTTAACATTAAATTAATTACAAATAATAAAATTTATTATTTAAAGAGTTTTTATGATAATTAAAAAATGATATGGCGAAATTGTATATACTGTGGAAGTGCGAATGTTGCGTTGGTTGTTGTGTCCGGTTGTCATCAGCTGGCCAGTTGTTTCGTTGGTCATTAATTTTATCTGGTGTATTTCGGTAAATGAATATTAATGATTGAAAATCAAATAAATTTGATAAATAATTGAGAATAAGTGAGATTGAGTATAAATAAATAATTGAAAATAAGTGAGATTAAGTATAAATAACAACTAGGAATAGGTTTGAGTAAATAGGTTTAAATATGAAGACTTATGAATAAATATGGATAGATAAATTTGCATGTGTGTGTGGTGTGTGTGTGTGACTAAGTAACCTAACCGGCATTGTTGTACTGATGAATGGATGAGAACACAATGTAGGAAGGCACGAGGCAGAAACTCGTCAAAAAAATTCCAACAAGAATGTACAACTTTATCACCGACTCGATACTCACACAGTTATCGGTCGAGTTTCTACTGTTGAAGTTATTTAAAGTTGTATTCGTGTTGATATTTTTTGTATTTGTGTGTGTGTGTGATGCGGTCGTTACAGTTTTCTTAGTAATTGTGTGAGAATCAGGAGTTGTAACCCCGGATACATCCGTGGTTGTAACTGTAAAAAGATCGAAAGTGGGAAAACCCGACCCTATTTTCGGTATTCTATTTTTAGAATTAGGGCGAATGTTTGGTTTATCGATGTTATTCAGATGAATATTTTTATTTTTTTTCGGTTTTATGCCAAACTTTAGCGATTTCGAACTCAGTTTGTCAGCAGTTAGTGTGTTATTATTTATTAAATTGTCTGAACTTTCTACAGAATAATTTGATTTCCGATTCAAAAAGGAATCCAAAGATTCAAAATCGCTGTCTCGATTTGTGATTTTTCCATTGTTTCTTCTTGCTTTGATGAGGTATTTCATATCGATTCTTAACTTATTCGCTTTTGGCTTATTAATCCTTTCTCGGTCTTTGTTCGGTCGGTTCCAATACTTATCGCTATTCGGATTCGAACTCGTCCCTGGAGAACACAAATCACAATTATCGACCCGGTTCGGATTTGAGTGATGTCTTCTGAGGTACGAGTCGACGGATGAAGTAGGCGATGATGACAATGATAGACCTATAAATTTTCCCGTCTTTTCCTCCTTGTAGCTGCACCATAACCCGATCGGTGCCGAATCGACAGTTTCGGATCTTTCATTCTCGGTCCAGTATTCGTTGCGAGTTGTGCCAGTTGGATCAATAAAAGTAGAGAGGATTTTTGATTTTTCTTTGTTATCTGAAACTTTCCGGGAAAAATTTTGTGGGATGAGTGAGGATGGCGAAGTGATGGATTGATGGCTGTGCATGTAACACGTCACACAATCGTTTTCATGATATTGTTGTTGTTGTGGTTGTTGGGGTAGCAGTAGCTGCTGTTGTGGTTGTGGTAATAGTTGTTGAGGATAATTTTGTTGGCAAAATTGTTGTTGTTGTTGCTGCTTTATAATTTCATAACCTGGAGATGACAGTTTGAGTCGAATTTCATTTGGATAGCAATCAGCTTGCAACTTATTATTGATAAGATATAGATTGGTGTTATTATTATTATTGTTGTTGATATTGTTGTTGCTGTCATTGTTTACTATGAAATTGTTGTCGTCGGGACAATTGCTACACGGAAGATGACGTTCATCAAACGAACAACAACACATGCCATTATAATTATTTATGCAATTATTATTATTGTTATTATTATTATAAATGTCGTAATTATTATTATTACTATTATTAATATTACCTATATCCATTTTTTCAATTTCAATTATGTCCGATCTATCAAGTTCTTCTCAAAGACCTGCCATCACAATCTGAAATATGACGTTGAAAAATTGTTTTTTAAAACACTGAACTCACATACAAACTGACGTACAAACAAACATACAAACCAACATACAAACCAACAAGTATATATACAAACACACATACAAAAAACACAAACAAACAGACAAATAAACAAGCAGATAAAAATATAACCAATTGAAATGACAAACAAACCGTCCTAACAATGAAGTTTAAGTCCTGAGAAGACCTGGAGAAAATATGTAATGGAATGACGTTTGAGGTCCTTGTACATCGTATATGTATGTATGTATGTTGCATGTATGTATGTTGTATGTATGTATGTTGTGTTTATGGTATGTATGTATGTACATATGTGTGTGAGTGTGTGTATGTGCGTGTGCATAGTATATGCTTGCATCATGCCAAGTAAGACTTGCATCATATAATACATACGAATGAAGAAAATAAAATCAGAAGATAAATGAAATGATGAATGTATGAATGAAAGGACGGTTGAACAAATGAATGAATAAAGGAATGAAAGAACAAACGATTGAATGAACTAATAAGCGAAGTACTGAATGTTTGAATGGATGAAGAAAAGAAGTAATGTTTGAATAGGCAAATGCATTTAACAAATAAACGAGTGAATGAATGAACGAACGAAATAACGAACAAACTAATGACTGAAAGAACGAACGGATAAATGAACAAACGAACGAACGATCAAACGAGTGAATGAATAAAAGAAAGAAAGCAACAAGAAAAAAGACGGTATATAACGGTATATACTTCCTGGAACGTAGGAAAGTTTAATTGATTTTTATACCTTACTCCGGGGCATGGTGCATTTCATAAGTGTTCGTCATCATTAGCATCATTGTCATCTTTCTCCTCATCATCATCTTCTTCCTCCTCCTCATCTTCTTCTTCCTCTTCATCATTATCATAATTGACGTCATTATCATCTCTATCGTCGTCATAATCATTATCGTTGTCATATTTCTCGCGATATAATATATACATATATATATATAGAGAGAGAGAAACAAAGAGAGAGAGAGAGAGAGAGAGAAATTGACTTAATTTCATTACAATTTATTTTATTCTAGATTGCAAAATCAAAAGTTATATTGTAGAAATCTCGAATCACATGCCTACAATCAACAGATGACGTTTCGGCGAAGAAACGGCCCGGCAGCCAATCAATGGCCAGAATACATGTGACGTCACACGAAACGGAAGTAGTACCGCAATAACCGGATACAGATACGGATGTACAGAAATATATCGGACCGAATGATTGATTGCATCGATCCCTTCGCCTCGGTAAATCACCGAAAAAGAAAAAATTTATTCGAAATTATAAAAACAATTTCACTTTATATTCGCCATAATTAAGTTTAATATCAATTAAAAATTAATCATTTTACACGTAATTAAATAGCATGTACAATATACAAAAAAGTTTATTTATAAAAACATCAAAAAGTTAATAAACGAACGAACGAATGAATGAAAAACAATATCATTTATTATACATATATACTCTTATATAAATATAACACCGTATATATATATTTATTATATATATTATATATATATATATATATATATATATATATATATAAGTATCGTTATCAGTATTTGTCCATGTAATGTAACAAAATTAGCGAAACCAAAAGATATCACTTACTTATTGGCCTCAACTTGAAAGCAATTAAAAATTTAAATTCTAAAAAAAGGGACCATTGAAAATATCAACAATAACAATAATAATAATAAAAACAACAATAACAATAATAATAAAAATAATAACACTAACAACGTCAACAAAATCAGCAATCATTATTCATACAAATGACAAACATCACAATTGCAAATATAACCACCGTCAGCCTCACCATCACTAATGTTGTTTTATAAATAGAAAACTATTATTATTATTTATATTATTATTACATAATAATAATATTATTATTATTATTACATATTATTAATATCTTTCTGTCACTGATTTATTTATATTAGAATGGTTAAAAAAAATCCATCAAAAAAGCTAGACTAGATACCGAAGAATATATACATATGTATGTATATATGTACACATGTGTGTATGTTTGTACGTACACTAGTGTGTGTACGTACATGTATGTATAATAAGAAGGTATGTTTGTTTGCTTGTATGTGTCTGTATATGTGTGTAAGAAAATTATTAAACATACAGCACAATTTGTACACTATATGCATGTATGTGTATATACATATATCATTAGATATGGATGCCCATTATGTATATATGTATACTTGGGAGAGCGTGTATGTTTGTTTGTGTTTGTTTGTTTGTGTTTGTTTGTTTGTGTGTTTGTTTGTCTGAATAATATTTTATAACAAAAATATTACAAACGGAGTATAATGAATAAAATATAAATGAACCAAAAAAAATGAACAGAAGATGGCTACAGGTAGGGCGAAAATATGAAAAAGAAACAACCAAGAGGAGTTGAACGGCCGTGACGATTACAAAGAAAACGAAATATAAAATAAACTATTTCTCATTTAATTGTTTATTTATTTATTCATTCATTTATAAATTGTCTTTGCCAACTTTTACAAAGGCAGAAAAAAATGAAATAAAATACAAACGAGATGAAAATTCAATCAATCAATCAATTAAATCAATCAATCAATTAAATCAATCAATCAATTAAATCAATCAATCAATTAAATCAATCAATCAATTAAATCAATCAATCAATTAAATCAATCAATCAATTAAATCAATCAATGAAATCAATCAATCAATCAATCAATCAATCAATCAATCAAATCAATCAATCAATTAATATCAAATTTAATAACTTTTCTCACTAAAGACTAAAGATGAAAAACTCAGATTCGAAACTACGTCATCAAACCGATGTATTTATACAGAGAGAGAGGAGAGAGAGAGAGAGAGAGAGAGAGAGAGAGAGAGAGAGAGAGGGGTAGAGAGAGAAGGGGAGAGAGAGAGAGGGGGAAGAGAGAGAGGGGGAGAGAGAGAGAGGGGGGAGAGAGAGAAAAGAGAGGAAAGAGAGAGTTCTGTGTTTTGTTATTTTTGTATCATATTGAAAATTTCTAATATACAAGTATTTACTTAGAATACAAAAAACAAAATAAGTACTTCTACTACACAGGCAAAGTGTTAGCTAATTAATACTGCTATAAAATGTCACAGCACGCATGTACAAGTATTTGTACTACTTTACAAGCATACTATTAACAAACAAGTAACAACTAAAACAAAGTAAATGTGATCATTTAACAACAACATCAACTAACAATATAAACAATAGCAGCTTCAACAGCTGCTACTACAGCCACTACTACAACTACTACAGTTGCTACAACAACTACTACAGCTGCTACAACAACTACATCAGCTGCTACAAACTGCCAGTTAAAGGGTTTGGCAAAAAATTGTAAGGTTTTTTATTAGTAAATACACAGACGATAAATAAACAAGACATACAGAGAGACAAACCAACATACAGACAGACATACGCACGTACATACAAATTCACATATTTGAACCTAATGCCACGTATAATCAGTGTGAGTAATGTACAAAACAGTTTCGTCATTGTTAGAATCCCAACGATCATCACCTCAATCAATCAATCAGCCAACCAACTGTCCAACCGACCAACCAATCAAAACATTAACTTAATTACACAATTAACCACTCATACAACTCTCCAATAACCATCACAAAATAATCCCCAACTCAGTAATCCCCGCCCATATCGCTACCACCCCACCCACTGCTTCCACACCCGCCCCTTCCATGTTCGTCCCTGGACCACCCCCAACTAGCCAGAGACGACAGTTCGGCTTGCACCTCTGGGTCCTCAAGAAGTCGATCGATCTCTTCGGCCCTGACACGACGACGGTGACGCTGGCGATGATCCGAGCGAAGACTCTTAAGGGAGCGAGCCGACTTGCTCGATTTGGCACTGCCTAGATCGGGGAGAAAAAAAAGCAGAAGAGGAGGTTTATAGCTTTTGTGGTGTTTAATTAGGGCCAGACCAATCTAAGACCAGACAGACAAACACACACCGACCTTTTTCGCTACATCTAACAGATGATGACTGTTCGTTTGAATTGACCCCAGTACTGGCAGCAGAAGCGGTCGTGGAGACGGGCGGATGACCACTACCGCTCATGTCTTTGCTGCTATTGGTCATGGAGGAGGAACCAGTCGAAGGAGGGTTCGTGATCCAGGGGTGCTTCAAGGCCATGGCAGAGGTCAAACGTTTCGAAGGGTCGACCACTAACAAACTGTCTATGAAGTCTCTGGCGGACTGTGAGGTGTCTTTCCAGTGCTGTTGAAAGTGAGATGGTGATAAAGTGAGAAAGGTTTGAGAAGGGAGATGATGAGAAAGGCAGTGAGTGTATGCACAGTAAGAACTAAAGTGAATTGAGACAACGAAAATTGAGGGAATTAAGGAGAGTCTTAGAATAAAAAATATTCATAAATTGATAGTAGCTACATGTATAGATACAAAGCAGAAAAAACCTAGAGACGACAAAATAGTAAGTGAGTAGAAATAAATGAATAATAAATATATACAGAGATGCATATATATACAGAGATAGATGAGGACAATTATTTTAATGACATATGCATGATTAGATAACAAAATGATGATTGTAATGGATAGAAAGATTGATGAAAATTGAAAATTATAAGTTTAATAATAACCACAGTTCAAAATTAAAATTAGAACACACAAAAGCACACACAACAAAGTATACAAAGACAGACAAACTTATACACACACAGACAAACACAGACATATACAGACACACACAGACAGACTAACATCAGTATCATAATAATATTTGGCCTTCAAGATACTCCTGTACAATCTAGATCTGTTGTCGTCCTCGAATGGAACCGTACCACTAAGAAGTATAAATGTTATGACTCCTATGGCCCAGACATCAACCTGTATGTGTATGTGTTTGTGTGTGTGTGTATGTGTGTATACGTTTGCATGTGTATATATATAAATGCAAGACAATAAGAACAAAAAAATTAGAAACAGCCATAATATTACCTTCAGCATAAAAAACAAACCTGGCACGTATATGGCTGCCTAGCCAGGACTTCAGGAGCAATATACTCAGGTGTACCACAGGTTGTCGACATCACACCAAAGCCACTGAGACCGAAATCAGTGATCAGGAGTTTAGAGTCAGCCCCCGGGTGATAATAGAGGATGTTCTCCGGCTTCAGATCTCGATGGGCTATTCCGAGACTGTGAAGGTATGAAGCTCCATTAAGAATCATTTTTAGTGTTTTTACTGCATCCTGAATTGAGGTATGGAGTATTAATGTTGATGTTATCTTGAAATATGAGACATTAATGTTGGTGTTGCTTCTGAAATTGATGTGGCCAGCCACTGCCCATATAAACAAATTATTTTTTAGATGATTTCAATTGCTAAAAATAGATTGAACTAAATTTTAAATCAACAAAAATGAAATAAAAAAAAGAGAAATAATTTTAAAATTATTTAAAAGCTAACAGTTTCTGTAAAGTACACTTTTGTAATGATCCTTTCAAATAGCTCTCCCCCGGTGGCTAATTCAACAACTAGATATAACTTTTTCACAGATTCGATAACCTCTACTAGTCTTATGATATTAGGATGTCGAACTCTCCTGAGAACATTCAATTCAGACTCACACATGTCCCCGGCCTTGACTCGATCGATGACTTTTATGGCATACGGCTGTTTTGACGCTTTATTCTCCACCCTAACCACCCTACTGTGACAACCTTTACCAATTAGGGCTTTTATGTCATACTTTGTTGTAACTTTAGGATCGAATTTGGCTTTGTAGGTTTGTTGGAGGCCAATTGGAGGCAATTTGTTGTAGGCATTGAGTTTAGGATTGGTGTTATTAACATGATTTAATTTTTTCACATCTCCCAGTTTATTTAATTCTATTTTATCTATGTTTTTATCTTGATATACGGTTTCTACTATCGAGAGTGTTTTGTTAGGGTAGTCGGTGGCAGGTTTGGATTTTAAACAACCCATCCTTCGCTTCAGCTGTTTATCTCTTAGGCATCTGTAGTAACAAATATTATATTTTTTAGTTTATTTTAGTTTAGAGTTTAAATTCTTATCATTATAGATAATGATTGAAGTGATAACAATTAATAAATAAATTATAATATTAAATTAGAAGAAATTCCTTCTTAATTTGAGATGAAATTCTTTTCTAATTTGAGATGTAAATTAAAACAAAATCCCAACAGGCACCAAGAAAATGTTCACAAATGTTAGCAGAACGTTAGTTTATTTATAAAAATCGATAGACATCTACAAATTAAAATTATGTTTAATTCTCTTATTTTAAGATTTTATCATAAAAATAAAAAGAGAAAAAAATGAATTCTTGAACTGAGAACTAAAAACAGCATCTAAGAACTTTGAATGAAAAATCATACCATTTTTAATGAAACGTTTATATGAGAGCGAAGGTTGAAATTGAACGTTTAAGAAGACAAAATGGCCATTAATTTATAAATGAAAAAGTTTCGAAAAGTTTCTTAATCATAGCCATTGCTGTTGAAAGAACAAAAGTTTATACACTTTGTAGCGTTCAATTAATGATGTATTAGTCGTTTTACTGTAAATTATTCATTTAATTAAATATTTATTATAAAATGTTAGTATTTAAATGGTGAAAAACTTTTTAAATGCATTAATTAAAAATCGGAATACAATTTTTTAAAAAATATTTCAACTATATCCAAACTGATACCAAGAATAAAATGTTATTCTTAAACTCTATAATTAAAACGTCTTTGGGAAATTTTCATCTGTATAAAAACAAGCTAAACGTCAAATTAACCGATAGTTTTAGAGTTTATTCGTTTAAATTTCGTTAATTTTCCGAGACTAATTTCTCTAATTTTGTTCACGCACGATGACTGATTCCGTCATTCAGAATTTGCAGTCGAGAGGTTAGTTTTTCTCATATGATTTCGTTAAAATTTTTAGTGAATTCTCGTGTGTTGTATGGTCGCGGTGAGCATATTATCACATATGCGTCGTCTATTTTGTTGCTTGTCGCTAATTTAGATTAGGTAGATTAATGATTTTCAAGGTTTCACGCAAATATTTAATTTTAACGAATTCCTCAATAGTCAATAGATGTTGTTAGGTTTTTGCAAATTCATTTCAAAAACTAAGAAAACGTGATGTCAAATAATTCTTTTATTTTTTGTATCATAATTTTAATTTTTAAATTTTGTATTTCAGATCCGTTTGCTGAGGATGAGAGTATTATCAGAGGTGGGGCCGGCCAGGATGGTTACATTCACATCAGAATTCAACAACGTAACGGCCGAAAGACATTGACAACTGTTCAAGGAGTGTCGTCTGAGTTTGATTTGAAAAAAATTGTCAAAGTTGCAAAAAAAGTTGGCAGACATTTTGAATTTTTATTTTATTTAAAAAAACATTTCAAAGTTTTCATAACTTTTTGTTGTTTTTCAGTTTAGTGAATAAATATTAAAAATATTTCATTCAAACAGGAATTTGCATGCAATGGAACAGTTGTCGAACACCCAGAATATGGGGAGGTCATTCAGCTGCAAGGTGACCAAAGACAAAATATAAGCAAATTCCTAAAACAAGTGGGACTCGCTCGTGATGATCAGATCAAAGTATTATTTAGTTTTTTTGTTTACCTGTATTTCTTTTCATGTTTTTGTTGGGTTAATAATTATATTTATAATAAATAAACACAAATTATAAATAAAATATTTATTAACTATTTTAATTATAATTGAAAATTTTTCTAGGTCCATGGTTTCTAAAGGCTCTGGGATATTTTTTGTGGTTATAAAATCAATGCTCGGATGACTATGTGCTTATTATTATTATTCAGAATATGTTATTATTGCTATTATTGTTGTTATTATTATTGTTTTTGTGGGCCCGTTGTTTGATGTTATATTGATTGAGGAATGATTTCGATGGTTATTGTTGTAGCATTGATTTGATGTTTTCAATAATATGAATAAAAATAAACGTTATTAATAATATTCAAACGGTAATAATGTTTGTAGTTTTCTTATTCGTGAATTTATATTTGGTTTTATTTGAAAAATAAACGAATGAAAAAATTGACATTTTTTCGTGTTTAATGTTTTTTATTCAATTTTTCAATTAAAGTGAGATAAAATATAATTAATAAAATAATTTGTCTTAAATAAATATGTAAATAAATCGGTATTTTTACGTCGCTTCATTTAAAAAGAGGTTTTTCTTTAGTTTTATGATGCTTGTTCATCATGTTTGGATTGCTCAGATGTCAAGTTGAAAACCAAACAGTCATTAGTATCACAAAACCCAAGGTAGAAACAAATCATTTCCAAATTGAAACGCTAATATAAAAATTGGAAAATAAAAAAGCAATGGTGTAATGTTTTTCGATTGGTATAATTTGGCATCAGCGTATGTCAACTTATTTACAAACTAATCTTTAATTTTTTCAGTAATTTGACTTAGAAACGTTCAATATTGACGCGTGTCGACAAAATTTATGGATAAAAGTTGCCCGCTTTTGTTTTTAATTCATTACATTTGATTTCCCAATGGCATCTTTAAGAAATTTCAAGTATCTTTCTTTCACTGGATCTGAAAAACTGATATATATTATGAAAATAAGTAGAATATGATCGTTATTTTATATTAAGATTAAATAATATTGTGGTAAAATAAATTATTTATCGATGACATAAATAGTTTGTGGTGTATAAATTTCCATCAGTTAATAATTATAAAATGCATTAATAGTAATTAACAAAGAACTAACATATAATTAACTATATAGGGCATGATGGTGTGGATTAGTTTGAACGTGTTAGTTGTTAAGACCTCTAAAAAATGGTTCGGAAAATTGTAAAACATGAAGAAGAAGAAGAAAATATATTAATAACATATTTGAGCTATTTCTCTTGCAGGCCAAAATATCATTAGCATTGATGACATCAACAACTGAACCGTCTGACTTGGCTACCATTATCACAGCTGGAAAAGTGTAAAGTTTCAAATGTCCTTCTGCTATTTTGGATAATTTTTCGTTAGTTTTTACCTTTGCCGCAGCCTAAATATTTAGAAAAATATCAATATAATATATAATAATATAATATTATATAATATCAATATAATAATTATAAAATGTTATTTACCCTAAAGTACTGTCAATTGCAGAGGATAAATTTAGTAAATTGTCATTATATATAGTAAATAAAAACGCTATGTTTTTATAAATTAGTAAATTGCAATAAGTTTTAGCAAATAACAGTAAATAATTACAGTAAAGTACCAAAAATTACACTAAGTTACATCAAAATAGAATTAACAGACAGAGTAACGTCAAGTAATGAAACGAAACGAAACGAAATCTTTTACCTCTAGATCAAGTACAAGATTCCAGGAGCTGATAAAATACTCCTCAAGGAGTTTCATAACGCCCGAACTTTCGAGAACAGTGTCCCGTAAAGTTCGGGCTGAACCTAAAAATAATAAGGGTGTAATGGTTCGACAATGACGTCACTGGCGTGTTGACAACATTTGGTGACATTTTTAAGAAAAACCTAAAAAAGGCACTAATACGACATCCCAATACCAAATAATACAAGATACCAAAAAAACCATACCTCAGCAAGACTGATCGTCAAGTGAGCCCCAAAGCAGAATTAGGTGCAAAAGTTTTGAGGTGCCTGAGGCTAAATTTAAGGCTTTTTCGAGCGGAAAATATGGAATCTTGGTTTCGAGTTTATTGTTAAGTATTATTAAATATTATTAAGTGTTATTAATTATTATTAATGGATATAAATTGTTTCTAATTAATATTTATTTTCATCAGTGACTAAAATATTTAAAAGTGTTAAAATTCAGGAAAATAAATGAAAAACTTTTAGCAATTTACCTTTTTAAATGGAAAAAATCCAATTTCTAAAAGTTTCTTTGCCTCGAGTATCGATATATCTTTGCGCCATTTTACTCCAGAAACGTCTTCATCACCACCACTATCATCATCAGCATCAGCAGCATCATCGTCATCATCATCATAATCAGTAGTTGGTTGTTGCATTTCAATTTTCATATGAGGCATATAGCCGATGTTAACTTCGTTCTCTTCGCCATCGTCATTTTCATCCATCTTTCTCATCCATTCCAAATCTGAAGTGTTGTTAGTTATTTTTTTTTGTCGTCCCTATTATTATTTTTATTTTAAACAAAAAGTTGCAAAAATATTTAAACGAGTCATTTTTTATTTCAAAATTTAAATTTACCCACCCACGTTTAGCCTCTTCTTATTGGGTACAAACAATTTAAACTGCTTGATGTCATTTCCGGTCCTGTCAATAATGACGTTGCCGAGAAACATGGCGGGTGTAAACCAAAATGGAAGATTCGGAGGAACGTTCAGCTGAAATTCAGCGTGTATCCTGTTAAAAGGTAGTTAAACTCAGTTTATACGCAGGAAAAATACGATTGTATGTAGAAAATTGACGTGATTGGAAACAAATTTAGTCGGTATTTGGTTAGTTTTTTGGCCCGCCCCGTAGAATTTTTAAATTAAAAAATTTTCAAAATTTTGGGCCCCACCCTTGTCAAAGTTGTCTAGATCCGCCCCTAGTGTGAATAACTGTTAGTATTATTTTATCATTACAACGGGTGCCTACTGGTAAAAGATGTAGCAGCAGCAGAAACAATAGTACAGAAATTATAAATTAGATTTTGGCAGTTCAATCTCAACCTGAAATGAATATCCAAATACTGATCATCATAAGCTCTGACCACGGCCAGACTGCCTCCAGGTTCGAACCGCATATGTACAAATGGTCTCTCGTGAAACATTCGCAAAATTTCGTACAAAAATTGCTCAGTTGGCTCGCTGAGATGGGGTGGATAATAGCGATTCGACGGCAGTCCTGGTCCGTTTTTGTACTTGGTGTAAGTTTTCACCAGCCAGTATGTTTTTCCGATTAGATTTTCGATGGAGGAGTCGGAGTTTACATCTGGTAGAAAGAGTTTGAAGTGTTTTATAGGAAAAGTTTTTGACTTTTCATTGACTTCCTTCCACGATTGGAGCCCTGAAAATTCTGATTTTTTCGATATTATGTTGTTTTCATTGTTGAGGAGCGTGTTGAAAAGTAGAGGTTTGTAACTGGCTCTCAATGTGATGTTTCGGTCGAAAATACCAGCTGGTAGGTTGTAGGACCATAGTTTCTGTTGATAAAATTTGTTTTGTATGCAGATGCAATTAAAACAAACGTTAATCAATCCGAAAAATTAAACTTTTAATATCGTTATTTCATTTATTTAACTATATATAACTGCATAAGAATTTGAACCACACCTGTCCATTTTGAGTCCAACGTCTCATTAGTTTAGTAAACTCGTTAGCAGACAAAACTCCGTCACCATCTTCATCAAACTTATGGAAAATCATTCCGCCATCCATACTGACAACTGTAGTTTTCTCATTTTCACATCCAACTATATACCCGCATTTATTGAAGAACTTATAAAATGATGCCTTATTCAGTATATAGTTCAATATTAGTGCTAATGTTACTGATAGAACTGCAAATTTTATGAGATTCATACCTCAAACTACTTAATGATTGAAGACATCGTTGAAAATTAAACGAATTAACAACTGAATATTCATTTTGAAGTGTTATTTTATCAAAAAAGTCGTATTATAAAGCTTACTTACAAGGAATTTATCGTTATTTACAAGTTTTAAATTGAATAAACAATACTTTAACTTCCTTATTCACTCATTGTCATTGAAAAATTCCTACTTAGAACGTTCACACTTGACTGACAATGGTTCAAATAGGCATCTATATGTATATATACCAAGTATATATCTTAATCATACAGTACATTTGATTACTGTTTTAAAACTTTTATTCATAGTTTTGAAACGTAGGTCATCAGAATTAATAGAATTTAATTGAAAACAGTTTATTTTAATAAGAATTATTGTAATAATTTTATATTAATAATGATTTTTACAATTTTAAATGAATAATAAAAGTTAATTCGATAAAAAATTTTTTTCACATTTTAGCACTTCCCTACTTACTTCGTTTATGGCGCCTCGCTTTAATTTTGTAAATAAACGATTAATTAATAAGAAAGTGTTTTATCTCTTAAATTAGAAATATTTACGAATTATTTTCAATATCAGTTAAAATGCTGCTGAATTTGTACAAGCGATCGATTGGTTTTAAAGGTATTTTTACCTTTTAGTATTTTAATTGTTCTCACTTCTTATCTTCTTCTTGAAGTTCTTAAAATCTTAACTAATGTTTTAAAAACTTATAAAAACAAAGGTTAAAGTTTAATAGCTAATTCTGCATTTGTTTTTTCTGGCCCTTTTCTCTGGAACTCTCTACCTCCTTCTCTGACTACCTCTCCATCACTTACGAAATTCAGTTTGCAAAATTCATTGAGGAGCGCTGTTGAACATTGTGGAAATAGCGCTTTATAAACTGATAGATTATGATTAATTGATTGATTGATTAATTGATTGACTGATTGATTGATATCTGGTATTGATCCCATTTCTGGATCATCACTATCAGATCAGTGATTTATTTTATATACTTTTTAAAATTTTAAATGTATTTTGTTTCATTTTATTTTTCAATTGCCTACTAATTCTAGATTAATATCCTTTTTTCAAATTTCAGTAAAAAATGAATATTTCACGAGCAACATGTTTGAGTATTTTGAGTGCAAGCAGTGCGATGTGCACAAAGTCGAGGACCCGAATGGTGGGGTAAGTTAGCTAAGTTATTTTATTGGTAAGGTATTAATTACAGTTACATGATGACATACAATTAGCCATTAGGTGAAAATTACATAGACAAGATAACTAACCTTTTTCATTTCAATTAAATTAATTAATTAATTAAATTTTTAAATTAAATATTTTAGAAAATATTTAAAGAAAAATTTCTTTTCTTTTTCTTATTTCCAGTCACTTATTCCTCCAGTTGCATGCAGCTTTTCAAAAAGTAATTATTTTAAAATATATATTTTATCATTTTATCATCATTCCACCATCCAGACATAATCCTAGAATCAATCAATTTTCCCTCTTTTCATCATCATCTCATCTTAAATCCATCATTTCATCATAGTTTTATAATAATTTTAACATAGTTTTAACTTAATTTCATAATTTTATCTAGAATATTTTTCTCCACCTAGCCTACCCTAATCACTTAGCCATTGCAGACGAAGACGGTGGCATTGTTATAATGAATACCTCGAAAAGTTGCATTGATGGTTTCATGCAAGGTATATTTTTATCTACACACCCACTCACACGCACACACACATATACACACACACAAATGTATATGAACAGCACATATTATCAAATAAACTAAAAATAGACTGGATGGCTCACTCGAATGCCATATTTGACGTTGACTGGATGACCAAAGACAACAAATTGATATCTGCCTGTGGCGACCAAACTATTGTTCTATGGGATATTGAGTCGGAACATAAACTGTCGACTTTGACTGGTCATACAAGTAGCGTAAAGACGGCTAAATTTTCTTTGGACAACCAAAGTATTTAGTGTTTTTTTTGAGAGAGATTTTAGTTTCTATGTTTGTGTTTTTTGATAGTGTTTTTTAATTTTCTTCGTTAATTCATCATCATCACTACCATCATCATCAATGATATCATCATCATAACTACCCTCACTATCATCATTATCATTACTTGCATCATCATCATCATCATAACTACCACCATCATCATCATCATCATCGTGGTTTGCACAGACATCATAGTATCAGGATCGAGAGATGGACATATAATGGTCTGGGATCTTAGGGTCAATAAGTCAGAAAGTGAGTAGATGATGATAAATAATAATAATAAATAATAATAATGGTAATAATAATAATAATAATAGATGAGACATTGAAATGTATAATCGACATACCGAATGCTCACGCTGCCCAAGCCTCATCCAATAAGAGAACGCCGAATTGTAAGAATAAGCAAGTAAGTTTCGACGATAATGACGATGATGATGATGACGATGATGATCGTCATCATCATCGTCGTCGTTGCTAACATCATCATCATCACCACCATCAAATATATTATTATCACCATCATCACCATCAAATATATTATCATCATCATTGTTGTTAATTGCTATCTACTAGATCATCATTTTAATCTTCGCTATCTTTATTATCATAATCATTTTTATCGTCGCCATCATCATCATCACCATCATCACTATCATCATCGTCACTATCACCATCGTCATCACTATCATCATCATCGTCGTCATCATCATCATCGTCGTCATCATCATCATCATCCTGATCACGTGACAGGCAATACAGCACAGCGTCACGGCCGTCCTCTTCCAGGACGATTGCACGTTCACATCAGCCGGATGCGCCGATGGGTTTGTGATGATGATAATGATATTACTAAAGATGATGATAATGATATTACTGATGATTATATTACTGATGATAAGGATAATGATGGTGTTGATAATGATGATGATGATGTTGATAATGATGATGATGATGTTGATAATGATGATGATATTACTGATGATAGAGATGATGATGGTGTTGATAATGATGGTAACGGCGACGATGGTGAAGATGAGGAAGAGGAGGAAGTAGATGGTGTATTTATTATCTTTTTGTATTTCCAGTTCCATAAAGTTCTGGGACGTGAGAAAGATCCAGGCCATATCGTCATCTGCCAAGAACCCGCACATCCCAAAGCATATAATAACCTGTCAATCAAAGAACGGTCGCTCCTATGGTGGGTTATGTTGGGGTAGTGTAGTGGTTAAGTTGCCTGGTTCTACTGCTGTTGCACTGCACCGACCGGGTCCGAATGCAAGACAGGATCTCTTGCCTGGCTATCGCCTGTCTGATGTGTGTGAATGGAGCTATTAAGGGAGAAATATTGTTAATTATATCAAAATCTTTTATTATTTGTTTTATCTTTTATTTTTATAATCTTTTATTCTTTTATTGATCTCATTGCTACTTGTATGCAGGCATATCGAGTCTGGTGTTCAGTAGTACAAGAAATTTCATGTTTGCCAGTTGTCTAGACGACTCTGTCTATCAATTTGATTGTCTCAATTATAAAACTATGCCAGGTGTGTTTGTCTGTCTGGCTGTGAGTCTGTCTGTGTGTGTTTGTGTGTCTGGGGTTTTTGGTTTATCACCATATAGTTAATATACATACTCAATTACTTGCCTACACAAACATATATGCAGATCATATGTACGCGCGCACGCGCACACACACACACACACACACACACACACACACACACACACACACAGACACACACACACAGACACACACACACACACACAATCACCCAGTAACTTGCTACAGAGGTCATAAAGTCAGTTCGTTCTTTGTGAAGATCTGTCTGAGCCCAGACGACAAGTTCCTCATGTCTGGCTCTTCAGATGCCTCTGCATATATCTGGCCCATACAGACAGACAAGCTATGTACTTCATCATCGTCGTCGTCTGGGTTATTATCGTCGGGGAGGAAGGGATCTATTAGGGGGTCACCTCGTACCCCGTCAGTGGGCTCCGCCAAAAGGTCGACCCTACACAACAAGATAGCATCCTCATCATCACTGTCACCAGCACTGGCAAATTTTTCACCAAGCATATCAGCCGTCTTATTTTCTCCTCCTCCATCATCATCTTCATCTCCATCCTCATCGTCACATCGCAACACCCTCTCGAATTTATCACCATCTCCCTTCAAAATGACTGGCCACTTGGAGGAAGTGACCTCTGTGGCCTGGTGCCCTTGTGATGGTCTCAAGGTCGTGACCCTCAGTGATGATAATACAGCCTTTATTTGGAGGGTAGATCGGTCGAGGATGGATTTTGAGGGAGAGAGAGATAGAGGGAGATATGGGAATTGTGGAGAGAGAGCGAGAGATAGTGATAGGCGTGGTGAGGGGAGGTTTCTTGGTGATGATGTCAGGAAGTTTGTTGTTGGAAGGGTGGAATGCTGCCCTAGTGTTGCTGCTCAGTCTGGTTAGCATTCAGTTTGTTTATTCATGTGCTTGTGTGTGCGTGTGCGTGCGCGCGTGTATACAATTGAATGAATGAGAGTGAGTGAATACACAAATGAGTGAATAGACAATTTAATTATAATTTAATTATAATATATTATAATTTCCTCGTCGACCTTGCCAGCCGCTACTCCGAGAAAATGCTTCTTCTCATCATCGCTGACCAGTCCGCTGAAGTCATCAGCGTCACCACCACAGCGACAATCGTCATCGTCATCTTCATCCTCAACATCGTCTGCCCTGAAGCTGGGTCTATCTAATCTACCGACTCGAGAAAAGGTGCCCTGCCCGACGATCACGTCATTCTTCACTAAGAGTTCACTCAAGAAAACCATCTCCATTGGTGGTGGTGGTGGTTGCACGCCCAAGAAGTTGATTCTATCACCAAGAAAAATCGCTTTCACTAGTAACAACAACAATAATAACAGCAACAACAGCAACAATAATAACAGCAACAATAATAATAATAATAACAACAATAATAATAATTCTTGTAGTATTGGTTGTAGTAGTAGTAGTAATGATAATAATAATAATATTAGCTCCGCTAGATGTCTGATTTCAAGAAAAGATTCTTTGAATTCTTCCATTATTACTACTACTACTGCTGCTACTAATACTACCACTACTACTACTACTACTACTAATAATAATAATAATAATAATGATAATAATAATAACAATAATAATAATACTAATTATAATTATAATAATAGGATGAATAAAAATAAACTGAATAATTTAGTTTCTTCTATCGGGGATGGTACTGAAAGTGTAGCTGATGTCGGGAGTAAGAGATGCTTGAAGAGAAAATGTTTTCCCGTCGATGATGATGATAGTGATGATGGCAATAATAATAATAATAATAATAATAATAATAATAATAATAATAATAATTATAGTAATAATAATAGTGAAAATGATGATGGTGATGATGTTAAAGTTTTAAGAACATTTCAGCTGAAGAAGAGAAAGTTGTTATTTGATGAAAATAATAATAATCTTGGTGATAATAACAACAACAACAACAATAATAATAATAATAGTAATAATAATAATAATAGTAGTAGTGATAATAGTAGTAATAATAATAATACAGAAGTTATTGATATCACAAATGATGAGGAATGTGATGAAGATGATGACGATTGTCTGATTATTAATGATAATGATGAAAATTCAGATCCTTCACCGTCATCATCATCAACCACTTTGCCATCATTATCATCATCAACCACTTTGCCATCATCATCATCAACCACTTTGCTATCATCGTCATCATCAGCTACAAAAGCAACTGCAGTGAAGTCTATAGCTGATACAAATAAGAATAATTTAATTTTCTGTAACAACAACAACAACAGCAGCCACAACAACAACAATTCAAGTGGCCAAAGCAAGATAAGTGGCCACGACCACAACCACAGTTTTATAAGTGACCGCGACAACTACCACCACAACAACGACGACGACAGCAGCAGCAGCAGTTGTAGCAACAACAACCACAACAACAGTGTATCGAAGTTTCTCAGACCAGCTAACTGGCTTGTCGAACTTAGTAGGAAAAAAACACTACAACAACAACACAACAACAACAGTATTGGCCGTAACAACAACAACAATAATAATACTAATAATAGAAATAATAATAATATTTCATCACCAAAATCATTTAATGCCTCTAAGCGCTCTTCAAAGACCAAAAAACAGCCAGCGAAAAACGTTTGATTTTTTTTCTTCTACGTTACCATGCCGTGATTCTTATTATTATTGTTATAATTATTGTTTATTATTATTATTATTGTTGTTCTCATTAATAAATATTGTAATTATTTCTAGGTTTTTGTGTTACTTGTAAAATTAATCCGTTAAAATAATTAACCTACAAAAATTTTTTTCTTATTTCAGAGAAGTAGATCAACAAAGTCCTGAAAGAACACACACACTCACGCACACACACACAAACAAACACACACAAACAAACAAACACACACGCAAACACAGACACACACGCACATTGTCATGTATATAAAATATAAAGAATGCTTCTTGACTCGCCTTTGGCTGGCACAATTATCGTCATAATTATCATTATCATTGTTATCATTTTGCTAGAAGATACGTAGCTCGTTAATATTCATGCTTCATATAGGAGTGAATTTTTTTTTACGATATTTTTTAAATTTGCATATTGTGATCACATAAGTTTGAATGGGAAAAAAAATGTTTTTCGTGTTTTTGGCTAATTTCGAAAGATTTCTGCCTCTACGTTTGAGGCTGTACAAAACTTAGTTCATTTGCCTAAAAGTGACTAAATCTCGCCAATTTATTGACTACACTAACGCATTACTGTGTCTGCTGAATCATGCAAGCAGTGCATATAAGACGAAGGATTTTTACTTGTTTTCCGTATGAGTTCTCTCCGTTTCTACTGATGGACGAACTACTCCTTAAAAACATCCCTCTTCTTAAGTTTCGTACATTTCCAGCTCTAACAAAATCATCAAGATCATATTAATAAAATTAAAGATAATAAAATATAAATAAAATTAATTCGAATGAGTTCATCTGACGCGCGATATTGTTGTCATCTCAGCGGGGTTCGGAATGTTTCGATTGTTACGAAACCACAGGTGTTTTTGCATAATTATGTCAAATCATCATCGTCGTGATCGTCATCATCTTCGTTAACGTTATCAGCATCTCGTCGTCGTTGTCGTCTCGAAAAATGAACAACACCTGATCCATCATCATCATCTTCTCCATGTTTCTGACGTTGCTGTTCACATACTAGCACACATTTCTTATTCTTTCTTGGTATGACCAACTTCGCCTACCTACAAACCTAATTGCGTAATATTTGTAAATAAAAATTCCTCCTATGAAGCAGCGTTTAAAGCCACAAGCCATCAAAATTTATTGCGTTAATAAACATATTATATATATATTATATTATTTTATTATATATATACATATATATATATATATATATATATATATACATTTACATATATTTGCTTGGTATATATATATATATATATATATATACATAATTTGTTGCAATAAGATCAATATCCTTATTCAAATGGTTTTAGTTAAATGACATTATTGATGAAAATATTAACACCGCTACTACTACTACTGCTACTGCTGCTACTACTACTGCTTCTACTACTACTGCTATTACTGCTACTACTGCTGCTGCTGCTACATCTTGAATTTGTAACACTGAATTATTTTTAGTAGTTTATGAGATTTTTAATTTAAAAATTTCTTGAACTACTTTGTGCTTTAAATACAAATTATTCCCAAATTATTTATACAATGAATTGGAGTGGTGTTAAATTTTGAAGATGGTGAAGATGGTTAAGTTGCTTGGTCATGCTGGGGCTGTAACAGGGCTCGAACGCATAGATATCCCCTACTGTCACACGCATTGTATGTGTGTGTGTCTGTGTGTGTGTGTGTGTTTGTGGGTTGTTTTTGGTGTTGACGCCTATAAAAATTAATCAAGAGAGGATTTATACGTCACTGTTGTCGTTATCGTGATCATCATCTTCATAATCATTGCTATTGTCTTTTTTACTACTGCCGTTATTAAATGCTATCCAGCCAGAAAATTCAACTCGCAGTTAATTGGATTGACATGTTACGTGTTGAATTTAGGTAATAATTAAATATAAAAATGAATTATTTATATATTAAATATTAATTTTATATGAATTTTCACATGCGCAACATCGTGTGACATAACATATCGCGATGTCAGGCTCTTCTTTATCTTTTTATAGTGTCGTGTAACTTATTGCTTGTATGAAACTTTGTATATTATTGTACGCGTTGTATGTTTTTGTATTTTATGTATGGCCTTGTATTGTAATTTGTATGTATTGTATATTGGATGTATTGTATATTGGATGTATTGTATATTGGATGTATTTTATATTGGATGTATTGTTTATGTTCACGTTGTATATTCTGTTTATATTGCATGTTTATTTTATATTGTTTGTATTGTATGTATGTATTGTGTTCTGTATGTGTTATAGTATATATACCTGTATATATTAATTATTGTATGTATGTGTTGTTTTAAATGATTAATTTTATTTTTAATTCAGTTAAATAACCCGCCTGAGAGGTTGTTAAGTTTATTTAGCTGCTAGCTAGTTCCAGCTAGACATCCTAACAAGTAGTTGATGAAACTTTCGAGGTAGTTTGATTAGGTTGAGGTACAGTTTGCATATTTCTAGAAAATTATGATCTAAACTTGCTTTTGTGAAAAGAGTTTCGTAATTTTGCCAAAAAATGAAGATTTTTCGTTCGTTTTTTGTTTTGTCAACCGTTTTTTGCATCGGGATTAAAGGTAAGAATTTTTAATTTGTTTTTTAATTAAATGAAATTAGTGGTTTTTTATTAATTTAATATTAACTAAGCAATTAAAATGATTAATTATTGAATTTCATTAATATTCTCAGTTATAGAAATGTTTATTCATCATTAAAAGTCTTAATTCAAATAATTTCTTGAAAGTAAATGTCTAAATCAAAGTTTAAATCGAAAAATTAGATTGAATCTTGTGTTTGTATATATAGCAAGTATAAATTTCTGATAAAGAAAACGATAGTGACAACTAAGTTATTAACACAACAAGGCAACTTGGTGAATGTTGCCCTGAAGAAACCAGCCTACCTCAGCTCCCTCTACCAGAACCTATTCAACGACTGTTTCCAATGCCTGGGTATTAACGGTGTGAATGGAATTAAGACGGATATTGTACACGCAGACAATAGTTTCCAGTATTCAAACTGGTTTGTAGTTGACCGTCTCGATGCTTATCAGGTCAACAGCATCACTCTCTATGGAAGAGATAACTGCAATCTTATTTGTTGTGAGTTCAAATTTGCTTTTCTTAAATATCCTTGGTTATTAAACTATTAATGTTTGAGGGACCTCTTTTGTGGGGTCCTTGGGCATTACTCCGCCCGCCCTCTCCTGGATCCTACCTGCTCTGGTGAAGACAAAGATTTCTTTGAAATCGAACCTGGACGCAAGAGCAGGCGCTCATTACTGTTATACTGCGTCGACCCCCGTTTAATTTGCAAACGCTTTGTGAAATACGTTTTAAATTTTGATCAAAAAATCCTTTGAATCATTTCATTGAAATACACCTCGAATTCTAACTTTAAAATTTCAGACAACCGAATGAATTTCTTTGTTGTTGGACTGACCAACTTTTTCGATTCGAACGTGAACAAATCGATACGAGGGAATTAAGATCTGTGTGGTCAGTGGCCGCTGGAAGTGACCATAGCCGGCCAAGTCTTGACCGTCAACTGCAAGGATGGCAACAAATTTTCAAGGTACGTCATTATTCAGCAGTCGCAGGTTGTCGAGGAGCAGCTGAACAATAAGTTTCTGGCGTTCGCTGAGTTGGAAGTCTACGCCGATGGTTAATACATTTCTGCTGTTCTGTTCTTTTTTGTGGGTAATAATTCGAGAATACAAATGTGTCATCTATATTTGAGAATTATGAACAAACTTTGAACGATTTTGATAGTATTTAAAATAATTTAAAAATTTTGAGTAAGAATATAAATTTGTTAAACGTTCAAACATTTTTGAAATCCGAACTGTTCGCGTGTAAAGAGAACTTCTTGCAATACGACAACCTGGCCTACAAGAGACCCGCCTACATGAGCACTCCCGATGCAACCTACATCCCGAACAACTGCGTGGATGAGATTGAAAATAACTTCTGTCTTCTGGGGGCTGAACTTGCTCCGAATCCAAATTGGCCAGGCAGTTCAAAGTTCAGTACGTCGTCATGTATTTAAGAAAGGATTGCTGTGGTTAGTTTTTTTAATTGCTATATTTTAATTATTTGATTTGTATTAATTATTTTTTATTCAAACGGTAGCAATTTTTTAATTTTTTTTTATAAAAATATCTCAACGAAATAATCCATAAAAATTTCAAGCCGACAGAATGACCCAGTTCATCGTTGGACTGGCAGCCAGCTTTAACGAGAAAGTCAAGACAGTTTCCGTCAGATCAAGTTATGACGTTTGCGGTCAGGGGCCGTCCACGGTTCAGCCCGTAGACACCCCAATAAGGTTGGACTGTCCCAATAAGAATGCCTACTCAAGGTACGTCATCGTCCAACAAGATCCTACCATTGCAAATAATATAGGGGGCATGACCTTTGCTGACCTTACTGTTTACGGGTCAGGTAGGGGTGATTTTAATTGATAAGTTGGTTAGTAATTATTTTTTGATTTTAGTGGATGAATTGTTGTTTTATGTTTGAGGTAGAAATGTGGTAGTAGCTGTAGATATTTTCATTCCAGAAAATTCTGTGAACAAATACATGGGCTGCTTTCAGAATTTCCAAGTTCAAAAATCCTTCCAAGAGTCTTCATTAGATATTTGCATATCTTTGTACAATCAGCTAAACATTCCCTACGCTACAGTCAAGGTGAAACTGTCAGAAATATTTAAAAATAATTTAAAAATTACCTAAAAATACTTTAAAATGTATAGAAAAATGAAAAAAAACCGAATTATGTATATGTAGGACAATCAAATGTGCTATTGTGGAACTCCGACAACGCTCTTCCCATCTTCCCAGTGCTTTTCTAATTGCGACGTCATCACCGGGTTATGTGCTGCCTCTGATTTGACAGCTGTCTATACTAGTAAATCATTTTTGTTTCATAATTTTTGGAAAATTATTACTTCAGTTCTACCTAGTTGAATGTAATGAATATCATAATTAACCTTAATTTCTTGAAAATTTAAATTTTTAAAGTTTTTGATCTACTAAAAGATTCGCTTTAGATAATTTTCAATATAGAAGATAGACATTTTTTAATCAAACGTGATAAAAAAATACAAATTTACACAAATTTTTAAAAAACTATATCACAAAAATTATTACACCACAAAGCTCCGATAAGTCCTGGCTATTTGGGCTGCTATGTAGACGACGCAAACAACAGGGACCTAGATGTTCTGATGAAAAATGACGTCACCTCCATGACCAGTGAATTGTGCATTAATCTATGTGTGCAGAACGGCTACGCTTATGCGGGCTTACAGGTTTGCATATAATTTATTTAATAATAATAATAATTATGCCATTTTTACTATTATTTCTTTAATATTTCTTCGATACATCAATGGAGAACAGCCGTTATGTGTAAACACACGTGAATCACACACAGGCACTTCATCCGATATTGATAGATTTATTTCAAAATAATTTTAATGGTAAAAAGTTATTATGAATAATTTTATAAAATTTCGTTTCTTTCCTCTTCTTGGAAATTGCGTCTTTTTGCTACTGCTCGAATTCTTACGGGAAGAATGGAATGGCTTCCGCCAATGAATGCAACTCCGAATGCAGTGGAAACCAAGCCCAGCTATGCGGAGGGCCTTTAAGGAATACCATATATTCACGTATAAATATATATATATAATTATATATTTTCAGAAATAAACGATTGAAAATGAATATTGAAAAGAAATTGAATAAATTTTAGGGAATATTACATTGATTATTTTTTATTAAAATCAAATCTTTTTGGTTTTTTCCATGTTTTGCATGTCTAGCCACGAATCATACGTCTGTCGGAGTTTAGTTTTTTTTTCATAAGAATATTAATAACTTTATTTTAAAGTTTGAAATTTTGAACTTGGTCAGTTTGCAACACGTACGGAGGGCTGAAGAAATGCCCCGACCAGTACCACTGCTCTGATGGTTTCAATTTCGATACGTGGATGAACTGTCAATCACAAAAATGTCTGGCCGGCTGGACGGGTAGTTACTGCAAAGATAGAGGTAGAAAAAAAATTTAGTAAAAAAAATTTATTTAATTATCACTCATTTGTTGGTGGCACTTATCAACTGATTGATTGATTGATGTTACATAATTATCCAATTAATTAATCGATTTTTAGTTAATTGAGTTGGAATAATGGTTTAGGCGTCCGGTCCTACTGTTACAGCAGTGACCTGTTATAAATTCAAAGATAACCACGCATATTTTACATATATACATATATGTGTGTGTGTGTGTGTGTATGTTGTTGATTGATACATTTAAAAATTATTTAGGAAAAAAATTACAATAATAATAAATAAATAAATAAATGATGAACAAATAAATAGATTGTCAGACAAAGAATGGAAACTGTGGAATCCACCCGTGTTCCACGTTTAAAATTGGAACTGCAACTCTCACGGAATGTGTTTGTAAGGTTGGCTACCAGAAAACCTACTACAACGATGACTGCACACTTAGTAAGTGCTCTGGTTTTTTTTTCTAAAATTTTGTTCTCTAATTCTCCATTGAAATTTCAAAAATTTCTTCCACGTCTTTGATGTTGTGATTCATTAATGTCTCTTTTATGTTATTTGAATAGTTTTTAAAAATAAACTCACCAACGATGTTTTCAAATTTAAAACGTTTCACAACACTAAAACGTTGAATATCTTCGACTTTTGAGACACGTACATCAATAAAACTAAACACAATTCTCTCATTTCAACATCCTTCCTTCAACACCTCAGTTCCCAACGTGTGTGATGTTGCTCCAGCCATCTGCAACTTGACAACCTCCACTTGCACAAACACCCCTGACTCCTACGTATGCACCTGCCTGACAGGCTTCAGAAATCCAACTAACAACAAGACTATCTGCCTTGGTGGGTATGGTTGAATTTAAACTTTCTTTAATTTCTTTAAATTGTAATTAAAATTAAAAATATTTAAGTTTTTTTAATTTTTTTAAATTGTAATTCAAATTAAAAATATTTAAATTCTCTTTAACCTCTTTAAATTGTAATTCAAATTAAAAATATTTAAATTCTCTTTAACCTCTTTAAATTGTAATTCAAATTAAAAATATTTAAATTCTCTTTAACCTCTTTGAAATTGTAATTCAAATTAAAAATATCCAGACATAGACGAGTGTGTTGAAAAATCGGACACCTGCAATAAACCATCAGAAGCATGCGTTAACACAATCGGTTCGTTCACGTGTCAATGTTCAGCCGGCTACCAACGCATCAACAACATCTGCACAGGTTGTTAAACTTGAAAATTGAAACAAACCTCTTCAGAATATTTTACAAAAATGGCTAAAATAAATTATTTTAACCCTCAACGCAGATATAGATGAGTGTTCGAATAGTTCAAGTCCGTGTAACAATGCCACTTCTAGCTGTATGAACAACCCAGGAACTTACAACTGTACGTGTCTGAGTGGGTTCTGTAATAAGGATCAGTTTACCTGCGAAGGTTAATTAATTACTTAAGGTTAATTAATTGAAGGATCAGTTTACTTGCAAAGGTTAATTAATTACTTAAGGTTAATTAATTAAAGGATCAGTTTACTTGCGAAGGTTAATTAATTACTTAAGGTTAATTAATTACTTAAGGTTAATTAATTAAAGGATCAGTTTACTTGCGAAGGTTAATTAATTACTTAAGGTTAATTAATTACTTAAGGTTAATTAATTACTTAACTTAATGTAATGTAATTTGTTTAGTTTAGCTTCTAGTAAATTTGAAAACTTTATTTTTTATGATGTTGTAGTTAGTAGGAATTATAGTCATATTCAAACCAACATTGAAATACATTTGGTCCATTCATTCAATTAATTTTATCAAACTTTTGAAGAATCTAAAACGCTTAAATAAATTTTTAATTTTTCTTTAAAAAATTATTTAGAAAATCGAGTTTCTGTTAGCTACTCATTAATTACTGCACCCAACAAGCACATAAATTACGAATTATACTTGAGGATTACGATGAAATTGTTAAAAAATTCGACTAATTTTCATCAAAATCTACTTAAAATGAATCTCGCAGACGTGGATGAGTGCTCCAGAAACGCCAGCATCTGCAACTCAGCCATCTCATTGTGTCTGAACGTCGTCGGTAGCTACATTTGCTCGTGCTATAGCGGCTACTCGAATAAAGACCAATTTACTTGCGAAGGTCAGTATTAAAAATATCATTACACACACACACACACACGCATGCACGCACACACACAACACACACACACATATACACACGAACAGTGGCGAATCTAGACAAAGTTGACGTTCGGGCCAAAATATTTAAAAAATTAACATTTTTTGAAATTTGACTGTGGGCCATCAGTGGCAATAGGCCCCCGCAAGCTTTCTCCCTTAGACCCCACACACACTCACATACACACAGACACACAATCATACACACACACTCATACGCACACACACACACGCACACACAGTTTCTCCGGAAAGGATAGGCTTGTACGCGTTGATAGGGGTGACAGTGGCAGGCCTTCTAACCCTATTGGGGCTGCTCCTCTTCCTGGCGGCCGTCGTGAACAGGATCCTAAAGATGGTGTTCAGAAAGAGGAGTAATAAAAATAATAAACCACCAAATGGTGACGTCACTATTGTTAATGTTGATCTACGTTGATGGATTTGGTGAAATTTTTTTTTTGGGGGAAAATTTGGATATTTCGATTTGAGGTTATTTTAAGATTTTTTCCCTGTGGATAAGTTTAGATGAATTGAGGGTTTGTTATTTGTTTAGAGAAAATTATTTATAGAATTCAGGGTATAATGTTACTTTACGTTCATCCAATACTAGAATGAATGAACAACTACTATTAGTAAACTTTGAGAAGATTAAACATTTTGCCTGCCAAAAATTTGTTTATAAATTCTTAAAATAAACGACTTTATAGGTACTAATAAGAACCATTCCATTTGATTTTGACTATTTTGTAGTTTGTAGATATATTAGCTCTGCTTTGCGTTTCATAAGTTCTTGGAAAAAAACTTATTTTATGTTTATATAGAAGTGTTTGCTGGTAACATAGGACGATGGTGATAATAATGATGATGTCTTAATGATGACGACGACGATGATGATGATGATATCTTAATGATGATGCCGACGACAACCTTATGGGCAGGGCAATTAACGCCTTGCAGAATGTAGGTTACGCGGCAGTAGCCATTGTCATCATTATCATCATCGTCATCATCAACATCATTTCTCCTTTTTTCCTCTCTTTCTTTCTTTCTCTTTTTTTTCCTCCCCCCCCCCCCCCCCCCCTCTCTCTCTCTCTTTCTCTCCACACAAAATATATCTATTTAACTGTAAGACAATAATTGCAAAAACCTTCGGTAAAAATCGAACATAAACAATGTTATGACTGCCATTATTATTATTATTATTATTGTTATTATTATTATTATAATTATTATTATTACTATTATTATTATTATTTTATTATTGTTATCCATATTTTAAAAAAGGTAGAAACAGATGCGGTTGAATGATTGATGAAACCTCGTGAAGAAGAACAGAAGAAGAAACAAAAACAAAACTATACACAACTACACACACACACACCCACACACAACAAACACACACACAGCACACACACACACAACACACACACACTACACTAATATACACACCACAAACATATACGTAAACACGCACACATATAAGCCAAGTATGTTTGTGTAGGCTGTAAGTGTGTGTGTGTTTGTGGTGTGTGTGTGTTTCAGACACATGCACAGAGTATCATCACGTGAACATTATGTTATGACGTCGGCAACACCAAACAGCAAACAACCAATCACGTTCCTGTATTTGTACGCCTACACACGATTATCTGTCTATACATGGGCATTATGTATATAAATAAAAGAATGACAAATAAACGAACGATCGATTGATTGAATGAATGAGTGAAAAAGTGAACGAAGTGAAAATGTATGAACAAATGAATGAATGAATGAACGAACGAACGAAAAACCATTGAATGTTAGAACAAACAGAAAAAAATGTCCAAAATGAACGAACGAACAAACGAACAAGTGACGAAATAAAAAAAATAGATAAATGAACGAACGAACGAACGTGTGAATGAATGAATGAATGAACGAATGAATGAACATTCCTATTCAGCTCGGCAGCCAATCAATAACGGGGTATGCGCGCGTGAAGAAAGCAGTGTGGTTGGTCGGTTGGTTCTACACTCTAGACTCCACAATAAAATGTACGATAAACCGGTCATACCTCCCACCAAGTGTACGTACACATACGAATTTCTGTACAAACTTTGAATCTTCCTCCATCCCTCCCTCTCTCTCTCCCTCTCTCTTCCTTTCTCTCTCTCTCTCTCTCTTCATTTTTCTATCTATTTTGCCTCTTCTTTGATTCTTAAATTCGTTCTTTCTTTCTCTATTTTAGTTCTTTGGTTTCTCAATTTTCTTGAAATCTTCTCATCTTCTCCTCAGATCACTTTTCACCCTCCACATCAGCAGCAAATGAAATTCATATATTCAGGAGAAACCGGGCCTAACCAATCAATAATAAAAATATATGCCGAATGACCTTGACACACACACACGTGTGTGTGTGTATGTGTTTGTGAGTATCACAAACACATACACACACACATACAATCATACAAAATACACACTCAAATGCACCTGTATGTAAGCGTCAGTGTACAATTGCATGTATGTATGTATCTATGTTTGTTTGTATGTATCTATGTATGTATGTTTGTTTGTATTCATGTATGTATGTTTGTATGTATGTATGTACGCACAAACTTGCATGTTTGTCATGCGCATTGATTGATCCTTTTCAAGAAATAGATCCCCATTTCTAGAGAACAAAGGCGAATTTTTATTTATGTATGTAGGTGTGTATGTATGTTTGTATGTATGTATGTATGTATGTTATTTTGTTTGTTTGTTTTTTTGTCTGTATAAACACACCAACTCGTCATAAACATAGCAGAAGTATTGAAAAAATTCTCCTCCATTGATTCTTTTGTGTGGGAGACCGCAATACAATTTAACAGAATTTTCTATACACTCAATACAAAAAGAACTACACCCGAAATACAATACAATCAAATAACATACACGCAGTATGTGTTGTATATTATACAATATACAATACAAAATATACACACTTTTCAAGCCTATCTACACACGCATACATATGGTGAACCGTATGAAACATGAATGCACACACATACAAACATATCTACACACACACACACACACACACACACACACACACACACACACACACACACACCATTCACACACACACAGCGAGAGAGAGAGAGAGAGAAAGAAAAAGAGAGAGAGAGAAAGAAAGTGAGAGAGAGGGAGAGAGAGACACCACAGTGCAATCAGAGCAGAGTAGTAAACATGCTTACACACACACACACACACTCCATACACACACACACAAACACACACACACACATTCACACAGACATACACACACATTTATGTATGAACAAGCAATCAACCACGCGTATGGCCTGATCTAAGGCTTTTCCAAAGTTCTACTAACATGCCTGTATGTACATTATAGTAACATTCACCTATTTTTTTGATTTAAAAGGGTTGAAATAAAAAAGAATATATCGAATAATACTTTTGTAAAAACAAAATAAAATTCGGTTTCTAGTAGATTTTTTTCCAAATTAAAACTAATAAAGAAGAGTTTTTTCTTTCTGCATCTCGGCCGAATAGCATACCACTTAAGAAGACGACGTCAATGAAGAGAATTTCGGTAGCCGAATGTCTCGAAATTTTAAAGGCACAAAGACACACACGCGCGCACGCACACACGCACACAAACACACACAAACACACATACATACAAAGAAACACGTTTTTCACGCTTTTTTGCTAATCGGTTTATTACAAATAACAATCCATGTGTATATATATATATATATATATATATAATTATATGTATATATTTACCACACTATTAATTCAAGTCTTACTTTATTAAACATACAAACATGCGAAAATATATATTAATATTTAATTAAAATAAATATCTATAAATATATATCTATACTATATTATTTTAGAAATGTTATCATATCATTTTTAGAGTCAGTTGAAGTGAATATAAGATACAACAACAACAACAACAACAACATTAATAACATCACAACTTTGAAAACATGAAAAAAAACTCGAATTTATTGTTACTACAGCTACTACCAATACCGCAACCACCGCCGCTACTACTACTTCTGCTGCCACTACTGCTACTTCTGCTACTACCGATTATACTTTTAAAATAGTGAAAATTGTAGTAATTAATATCAAGTGAATGAAGAAAACTTATGAAAGTTGAAAAAAGTCATCGCTATCACTGATGCAGTATTTGCTTTAGTTAATAGAAATTGTTCATTCGTTTATTCATTCCTTCATTTTTTCATTCATTCCTTCGTTCGTTCATTCATTCATTCCTTCATTCGTTTGTTTGCTCATTCTTTCATTCACTTCTCAGTCATTCATTCATTCATTCTACTCCACAACTTCAAAATGCTCATTAATATTCCAAATATGTAACATCAATTTAAACTAACAATCAATCAAAGGTAGATTGCAAAATATGGATGTACAAATATATAATGTAATATAAATAATAAATATGTATATATATGTATATTCATGTGTGTGTGTGTATGCATGCGTGTGTGTGCGTGTGTACGTGTTTGTATTATACACAACAATATAAAGTGCTTACGTACAAAAGTGTACATATACGTACGAGCTGAAATTAACAAGGGCCAAATATATAAATAAAAACAAATAAAAATAAATAAATATGAATAAAAATAAATTTAAAGAAATAAATATAAATATAAATAAATAAGTATATATAATGTCTGTGTGTACGTGTGTGTAGTCAGCATGAAGCATTTTTGTAGTAGTGGTTGTAGTTGTGGTGGTGATGCATCTGGTAAAAGAATTTATAAGTGCTTCTTAAAATATGTTTTATTTGTTTCGGTGTTTGTGTGTATATATATATATATATATATATATATATATATATATATATATGTTCGTGTGGGTGTGTATATATGTATGTGCGTGTGTGTGTGCGTGCGTGTGTGAAGGAAGCTATTTTGCTTTGAGCAATATTAGTTTCTCTTATGCTTCTTTTTATGCCCTTGTTGTAGTAGTTGTTGTTCGGATATCAGATTTTTTTTATACTTTTGTTGATAGTGAATTTACCGCAGATGATTTTGTTGTTGATGTTGTTGTTGTTGATGATGTTGTCGGTGTTGTTGTTGATGTTATTGCTGTTGTTGATGTTGTTGTGTTGATGTTGATGTTGTTGTGTTGTTGTGTTGTTGTTGCTGCTGCTGTTGTTGTTGTTGCTGCTGCTGTTGTTGCTGTTGCTGTTGTTGTTGTTGTCGCAAGAATGATTGTTGTTGTTGTTTATGTTGTTGTTGTTGTTTATGTTGTTGTTTGTTGACGTCATCGTCATCGTCGTCGTTTTTGCTTTTGCGCAGTTAAATTTTAAAAAATCTTCCTGCAGCTATAGATGTTTTGATATTGATGTTTGTGGCTGTTGTGGTGAAGTTGTGGCCGCTGCTGATGTAGCTTCCGCTGGCTGAT